TTGAAATATGAAATTAAATATTTTTACTGCTCCTCTCTCCATAGATCTGAACTGTAACTAGGCCAACCGGGATGTCTAATAGGTATGTTTAATGCCATACTGTGAAACATTCCAGGAATAATTATAAGAATGCCACGGAGAAGCAGGAAGTTGAAGGATAATTGAGCAATATTAACAAGTAGAACGCAAGTAGAGAGTACAAACATTACTATTTTTACTATTTTATGGAAAGCATAAAAGGCAAGATCAGCAAGATTGAGAGGCCATGTTGGTTCCAGATTATTTAAAAACATAGAATTTATTTACATACTGTATAAAATATTTTGTAATTTTGTATTTTTTTTTTCCGACATGGACCACAGTAGAAAGATCAGTGTCAAGTTCAAGCCTATTTACTTTGCAGCTGAAGTCGTCAACATTCCCTGGAAGTGTGAAGCTAACTGGAGGCACTGCTCTGTCTGAACATCTGTTACTCAAGTTACACTTTAATCTGAGGTTTGTTTTAACACGATTTGACCAGAAAGAGCTGAACTACACCAGGTGAGCTGATTTGTACTGTTAAACAAATAACACTACTCACAAGTTTTTCAGTTAGTCACTCTTACCTTTTGCTGAAAATTTGCTGTTTAAATCAATTGTACCGTAATTTCCGGACTACTGAGTGCATCTGAAGCCACGTTAACAAAATTTTAACTACATTTTAAAATTGTAAATATATAAGTCGCAGGTGTCCATGTCTTCAAGAACATTTTCAAGTTCTCTGTCCTCTGAAAGTTTTTGTCGTCTTTTTGCATTGAGTCAGTCCGTCACGCTGCAGTCTCCAAAATCTCACCATCGACTCACTCATGCAGAGCTCACGCGCAGCAGCTGAATTTCCTTCTTCCACAGCCACATCAATTGCATTTAACTTAAAAGCTACATCATCTGCATTTCTTCGTGTGTTTTCCATGAGGAGGTGTGCGCATGAAGCGGAAAATAACTGTTCAAAACACAATCAAACTAGAATCTTCCACAGCAACATTGGGGTCAGCCCTATATTCCCTAATTTCTAAGATTTTTCATATTGCTAAGATTTTTTTTTCTCAAAATTTAACTCTAAGTCAAGTCATTTTTATTTTTATACCACATTTAAAAGGATGATTCAGAGTCACTAGGATCCTTTGCACCATGACCTCTGCATTACATCTGTAGTCAACTGCTGCTGGATAATAGGTTGGGTGTGATTGACCAAATTGGGAGAAATGGGGATAAATTCTGATGCAAATTGATAATCAAGGACATGTGGGAACTTAAGGCCTAATTTTGGAAAGAAAAGAAAAAAACTGAAATGTGGGAACATAGAGCTGAGGGAACATAGGCATGCATAACGTTATGATGTCTTATTTGAGGCTCACTGTCACATGATTTTGAGTTATAAGTTATAAGTTTGGATTGTGGACACATAATCCTACATTGGTGAGTACTGTGCATGTCCATTTCTACCTGTAATAGGCCACACACCTGCGCTCTTATTTATTTACTCTTATTATCTGTGGCTACAACATGACCTCCTGGGTAAACCAATTTATCGCTCGGCAGCTGCCATTTCTCCACTAACTGTCCAATTTGAGTGCTCTGACCTGCACCTATCAGCTCACTGCAAAACTCCTTATGATTTTTATTGCGCTTCCGAGGGTCATGTGACACAGAAGACCCCCCTGCCAGTGTACCACCAACAACTGCTATAACCTCAGGCCAGCACATTTAGTGTTCAAATCGATTGAGAGGGAAGTGTGAAATGACACATGGGAAGATTGAGGAAAAAAAAAAAAAAAGAAATCATGCCCCAGATAAATTGTGTTCGCTTTCTAAAATTTGATGACTCACAATCTCAGGTGGAGGCAGAGGCTTTTGTAACTCTAAGGGAACAACAAGGTTTTATAAGTATCCAGGATGAAAGTCTTGTTAGTCTTATTAGTGTGAAAGAAAAAGAAAAAAGTATTGCAGGATGTTTGATTAATAATCCTCCATCTTTTGTTGTGACCAAATGACATTTGAAGAGGCCCTATTACACCATTTTCTGTCCTATAATGTTTCCTCATCACAAACATACCTGGAGCTGTGGTTTTTGTTTTTTTGTTTTTTCCATCCACATGTTTAACACACAAACCTTGCATATTTATTAGGTTGAGTTCTCTCAAACTGAAGACATCCTGTCCCACCTTGTGTTGTCACGTCGTAGCCTAATACAGGAAGGGCTCCACTGTGTTTTTAAATGCCATACACCTTCACTAGAATATTTGGATAATTTTAACCCTGTGTTACGACCCAGCTCTGCTAGGGACAGGGGAAGTACCAAAAGAACCAAGATGTAAAATGGTAAAACTAAACTTGTAATTTATTTAAACGAATTGTAAAGGTAAAACTAACAAAAGGAGAATATTTACAATAATTAACAAAAAGCGGCTCTAAACAGAGTAGCAAAATGTATAACTAAAAGTAGGCCAACAAAAAGAGGATATAAATGACCGTAACAGAAACACAAACCACTCTCAAAACAAAGTCACAAAGGACAAATATGGCTATAGGAGGAGCTGGAGGCCTGTGACCATAACACCCTGGAATTTCCAATATCTACTGAAGTAAAGATAAAAGCTGTAGCTACCACTACATGACAGCACAAGGTAGAACAAAGCATTTTGAGCTTTCAGTATGCAGACACATTAATAATGAAGAGTTACTCAAACATGTGAGAATGAAACAAACAAACAAAACAAAACAAAACACAGCTCCAGGTATGTTTTTAATGAGGTAACAACTTTCTAACATGGCTTAAAGCTCTCAGAAGTCAGTGTTGTATAATATAGGATCTTTAAATACAAATAATTTTAGTACAAATATAACATAACAAGATAGTATGTTGTTTCCCAGAGCAGCACAGACTTTATATTTGACCATTTGAACTGTCAAGAACAAACAATGACCTCCAAACCGTAATACCACAAATGTCAAAATCAGAACAAACGAATGCGTAATCTTCTCAGTCTTCAATCAACATCAAGTTCTCATATGTTCACTATATTGAAGTTAATCCAACATACAGCCCCACTCATAAAAAGTAGTGGCCTATTTTCAAATGAGCACTGAAGAGGGACAAAGACATAACAGATATTACAACTGCACAAAGCTGCTTAAATATCAGATTGACATAGAAAACAAAATCTTGAGGGTTTGCATTCAAATCCAAATGGCAATCAAACAAATGTCATGGATTAAAAGGAAAGGTTGCTGGGTTACTACTCTTGAAAGGCTCCATTCATATGCTCCATCATTTGGTCACAATATTTATAAACAGAGTCGGTTCTCATTTGTATCAATAAAACTGAAAACTAAAGGTGTCCAGTCCAGCTTTAATACAGTAATTTCATTGGTTTCAGAACTAGGGTGACTACCACACACCGAGAGAGTGGAATAGCAATAGGGGCAACATATTTCAACATATTAAATTGAGCGGCACTAATGAATAAGTGGGGCATTCCCTAAGTTGGACATGGGTCTAAATTGTTGTGCAGAACAACCAAAAGAGGGACTTGCCGTCACTCTAAACCAGTGTTTCATAAGACTGGGCCACAATCCTCAGGTGGGTTGCCAGAGATTTTTTGGGGGTCGCCTTGTCATGATCTGCATCTAGGTCTGAAGTATACAGGGCTACATTTAATGTCCAAATAGGCAACTTATGTTTATGGATATCTTTTATTGCTGGTTTTTCATTGTTTTCATAATTTTGTTTGTTGTTGTTTCTCATTTCACTTGAGTAATACTAATTGTTCAGAGAGACACAATCACTCAGTCAACAATAAAATATCCTCATTAATGTTCAATAATGGTCAAATCCACCTTTATTTTGTGGTTTACAAATAATGTCTTTTGACTTGGGTCATAAAGGTTTGTGACTTTTACAATATGTGTCCCCAGAAAAAAGGTTTTAGAAACACTGATCTAAACTATAGGATAAACTATGCTATGGAGCAGTGCAAGTTGCTTCATATTTTGTCTGTATATTGACACAACCTAGGTCTAGGGTCCCAACCCAGGACAGTCAGTTTTGAACCTTTTCTTCCATGCTCCAGAACATTTCTTCAAAACCAGTGATTTTGTCCCATGGTGTACAAAGAATGTCCCAGGTGTCCCTATTTTTGACCAATTTTATATCCACCAACAGTAAACAGGAGCATAAATTTGTAGTGATTTATTTAGCCAAACTACAGAAAAAACATGCTTGAAAATGACCAGAACACAATGAAAGATAAGAAACTCACACAGATTTAAATTTCTCAGGTTATATACCATCTCACTAGTAAATTGTGAATAAATTATGAATAAATTAAGTGCAACAGTTTTCTTATTTTCACATTTTTTTAACCAACCAACCAACCAACCAACCAACCCAAACCGAGGGTGCTCCAATTTTTGATTTTGAAAATGTGATCATCAAGGTGTAATATTCCAAGCCCTATTTCAAAACTGCTGCGGAGGGATATATCTAGTGCTATGAGATTAGTCGCTTTCCCGCGCTCTTAAGTAGTTGTTCAAATTACGCACCAATCAGGCTTTTTAAACAAACTAACAAACAACTTTTTAAACTTTCTCTGGCATTAAAGGACCCAGGGGACTCTGGTGGAGTGCCCTATTAGTAAATCCGACTGGGTCATTGAAACCATTTGGAGAGTTAATCGATCACTTACAGTAAAACGGGGTCACCAGTGTTAAATCACCGCGCACTCGTCAATGGGCCGATGTATGAGCAGCAAAAACACGTGAGAAATGTTGTTTTGGGAGACAAGGGGCGTTTGTTTCCCACACTGTGAGAGGCCGCCGGTGCAGCCTATCACAGCCTCTCCAGTCACGCCGCGGATGCTCTCATCCGCCGAGCGCTCAAGCAGCGGCAGCAGGCAGCGGGAACAGGCGAGAGGAGGAGGAGGAGGAGGAGAGCTAACGACTACTGCAGCGACTATACGGAGATGGCGAGCGTCAACATGGGGCTCTCCGTGCGTCTCGCCTGGGTCCTTGTGCTCCTCCAGGCGGCTCGAGTGTGCGCTCTGAACGGCGACGAGGACCAGAGCCAGGACACCGAGTGCAAGATGAAGAGCGTAACCGTGTCCGCGCTGCCGTTTTTGAGGGAAAACGACCTGAGCATCATGCACAGCCCGTCGGCCTCTGAGCCAAAGCTGCTGTTCTCCGTAAGGAACGATTTCCCCGGTGATGTGGTGGTTGTGGACGACCTGGAGAACACCGAGCTGCCCTATTTCGTCCTCGGTAAGTCCATAAAACACTGCGCGCGCTCAGTGATTGACCAGTGGTTAATTGTCCAGATTAAATCACGCTTGCCTCTTATTGTGGGACATATGTTTATTAGCAGGCCTAGCTAAACAGATGTGCTGTATTAGCTTACAGTCTGACTGCTGCAAAATGACATTAGTGAATACTATCGCTTTTTGGCACCTCTTGAAAAGCCACGCGGTGTTTAAGTGCAGTAAACTGTCCGTCATTAATCCAGTGCGCTTTGTTGATATCTGGATGCTACATCATAGCTTAGCACATGTTATAGCAAACACTTACCGGCCACTTAGCTCCATCAGGCTAGCAACATTTCTTATAGGATCTAAAAGTCAATCCTGGGTGATCTAATTAACACTGCAACTCACGAGTAGTGTTTTCGTTTGCATAAAGTGTCATTAAAGGGGTTATTTGCTTCATTGTATCAATTATTATTTATAGCTAAAAACAATAACTGCTGTCAGCTGCCATGTGCTTATTTATTTCATGCATTCCTCTACACGCGTCATGACATTATATGCTTTTATCTGTGTCTGAAGTATAATGCTAAGTTTGGCTAGCTGCTGTAAAGTTGGCTTTGTGGAGTTGTGTCCGTCGCTGTCCATGGTGCTGAAGCTCTCATGAACTTGTTGCTGTCGAGATAGGCTTCATATGATACTGCAGCAAAAGTAATCTTGTTATTTTAATTTAGTTTTATTAAATTGTAATTTGTATTTGAAGCCAGTCAAATGGAAACACACATCAGCAACATCAAGGTACAAAGCTCAGAATTAGCAAAAAAATCTACATTTCATATGTTTTGGTTATCTAAGGCACCTGATTTATTAAGTTAGTAGTAACTAATGTTTGTATATCTTACAGTCTAAGGAAGTTGTGTGCAGTGTTTTGCATACTATGGACATGAATTTAGGCAGTTTAATTGCTTCTATTACTGTAGTGTCACTTTTTTTTATTGGAGTAATTAAAGTTTAGTTAGGTACACCACGTAACTTTTCTTGTGGAAGGTCTTCTACTCCAACAGTACATTATTAATTAATATATTAAATACTACTGCTACTACTACTACTACTACTACTACTAATACTACTGCTACTAATAATAATACATGTATTATGAATAAGAAGTGGCTTCAAAACACACAGTACAGTGGAAGAGTGGAGGCAGAGCTGTCTCCTAAAGACAGGCAGGTGGCTGATCCTACACCAGAAAAGTGACAGTGATCCCTTAATCAACATCCACATGTGTAAAAGTATTGCCACACTACAGCCTAAATGTGTCAATAATTTTAGTTGTTGACTTGTAGATTGTAACATTTTTCACAATATGTCTCCATGGAAACAGCTGCATTTGAATAAGCTTGTCCATAATATTTTCTTTGCATTTAGAGGCAGTAAACTTTTGATTAGCCTCCCTCACAGACTGCCACTGTTGAGTAAATACCAACAGAAGCAGCTGCTCTTGTGTTTATGTGTCCTGATTTCCTTTGGTGTTTAAGAAGAGCTTCTCTGAATGACAATCTGCAGCCTCAGTCGCTTCTCAGGAAACAAATGCCACAGAGGGCATATGGGCCTGTAATGATAACAAGCAGTAATTACCTTTTAAAGCACTGTTTGAGCCTGGCCGATAAGACTAGTCCCTCCGCTGTGCTCTTGTTTAGGTATTTAAGTCTGGGAGGATAATGCTGAGGTGACAGTAAGCTTCATGATAAATGATTGTGCTATTAACTGTACTCGCCGAGGTAAGTTTATGGAGACATTTGGTTGTAAATAAAACACACATGGTTCAAATACAGTGTTTCATATTGTAGGCTTGTTAAAAAAGCTAACTGTAGTACTAAGGATTATCAGTTTAAAAACAAATACATGTATGTTTTAAATCATTCACATATCAAAGGCTACTTAGAATAAACTGGTAATGTACTGTAAATTTCCCAAAGTCTGGAACAGTAGCATTTCTTAGTTTACTATTTTTTTCAACAGTTCATATCTTCGGTATTTTTAATTTGTAAAGTTTTGTCTGGAGGACAAGTTGTGCAATTATATTCAGGGTTCCTCACTTGCACACTCTGCGACTCCTTCAAGAATTGAATTACACACAGAGCTAACCTGAGATTATGGCCTCATCTTCAGTCAGGAGGCAGTAGGATCATGTATCACCAGTAATGTGCTTTAAGAACAGTTCTGAAAACATTATTCTTGTAGTATTGAAATACATAAACTGAAATAGTCTTACATATGTTGTCAAATAGGACTTTTATTTGACATGGGTGTTTGAAAGAGAAGGTTAAATTGCCCTGTAAATTGTAATAATCTGATTAAATTTAGAATCTTAATTTAAGACATTCACATTCACAGATGTTGGGTTTGATTTTTTTATTTTTTCCTTCTGTGCAATCCTACATAGAAAAAAATAACCTGAAAAATACCTGAATGTAACCTTAATGTATAGTTATGTACACCGATTCTTCCTATACTTAGAAATTTTAGTTATTTTAACCTGTAGTCATTAGGTATGTAGGTATCTGTAATGTATTCAGGCACTTCTCTAAAGTCTGAAATGTGTGGGTGAAAGGAGGTTAGATTCTCATCTGACTAGGCTAGCCCACATATAACTTGGTTTAAATGACTAATGTTGTAATATAGGCCGGCCCCTGTCCCATGCCACGCTGAGATCCTGCTGACAGCACTTTTCTTTCTGGTGTGAGATCATGTTTTTGACGGTGCAGTCGCTTCAGCACATTCATTGCCAGTTTAAATGAGGTCTATGGCACCACTGGCAATTTTCTGATTGCAGCTGCTCCCTCCAAAGTCCAAAAATGCAAAGTGCACTTTTCAGGCAGCAGTGGGACCTGGTAATTAGTTTCTGCAGCATGGGGATGTTACACATGACTTAAAGCAGGTACAGTGGGACCTGGGAGAGGATAGGGGAACATATATGGAGCATTTAAGTGCACTGAGAGCTTAGACATCATAAAGAGAGGTGATAGCATGAGTGTGTATTTGTACTGTATATAAGCACATTTAGCTCTGAAAATTCTCACCAGTGCTTTAACGTTTTTCTACTAATATTGAATAGTTTGCAAATCACTACTGTATTTTCTTGAACTGAACATGTACTGTTTGTTCCATTACATATTTTGGAAATTTCATTAATTAATTATTGAGTTAAAATCAACATATTATTCTCTATGAACTGTACTTTAACATGCAAGAGTATTCAAAAATATAAGAATATTTATTTTTACCATTAAATCCTTCAGAATGAAAATGCCTACAATGAATGAATGAACCATTTAAAAGGTGCATTTAAACTGAGAATTTGATTTGCAATAGGCCAAACACATTGGTTTTATGTCCACCCACACAGCTCATTCTGAAAGAATCCAACACTGATCCAAGAGCACACATGGGATCACCATGAACCACCACAGACCCAGAATATATCTCACCAATGGGTTAAATAGACTTACCTAAAGCAACCTTAAGCCTCAGTGTGTATGCCACAGTTTGCCGATGCACTCAGAGCCAAGAGTTAATGTGATTCTAGAAACCTCCAGATCTCGAACAAAAGTGACATTGAAAATCTTTGAAGCAGGTTTCCTTTAAGAGCAGAAGCGAGTATGCTCTTGTGTAAAACTGAGATAACCCAGTCTGGCTTCCTCAGCTCACCCCCACAATTATTGGGAGTTTTGGCAGACTTTTCATAGAGTGCTGTGAAAAAGACCTAGTCTCAATGGTCTAGTTAAAGGCAAAACCTTAAATCAGCATACCTCATTCTGGACGACTGGAAAGAGACGGCACCATGCTGAGAATCTTTTTATTTTTCCTCGGCCCATCAGCCTCTTTGAAGTGAGATAATTTCAAACGTACATCTGGTCCCAAAATCCACTTGCATGTGCATGTTGGTGCAACCTACTCTAATTTACATGCTGCTTTCTCCCAACCTTTTACAGTGGCTGGCATTTTCTGCGCCAAATTGCCTCACTGTGAAGCATCTAAGAAGCAATTTGGAGAGAAAGGAGGGGGTTTGTGTGAGTGACAGTAAATTGTAGCTCCAGGACTGCAGCCGCTCGTTAGTGCCAGAAAAGCCCGAGCTGGGTTATTAGAAATTTACCCTTTTGCTGTTGTGTCATAAATTGAGAGGATGTGAGGTAATAAAGTCGCCCTCTGGGAGAGTCCTGAGCTGGCTACGTGCTGGCTGGGATTTGCACATCTGGGCCTGGATATGGGCACGCAGACCATCTCCTGTATTCAAATGAGCTCACCTGAAAAATGACCTGGCTGCTACTGTTCTGCTCTGTGCCACAGCGGTGTTTATGACAGGGCCAGAGCAGGAGGTTAGAGCTGTGCACTGTGAGTACTGCTGTTCTACTGCCCTTTTTCTCAACAATGTGAACACTATTCTATTGACCATATTGTACGGTGACATAAAGAGCTCATATAACATTTGTGGCCTTTTGCAGTTTCAGTTGAATAGAGTTTTTAACCGTTTAACCCAAGCTCCCAGCTCATTGTATATATGTATATTGTATATATGTAAATTAATGGATGTATTGTAAAAAAAAAAAAAAGACCAGATCTACCGGCTGGGGTGCTCAAAATTCATAGCAATTATTGGGCTAATAATAGAAATCACAAATATTTTAAACAATTACAGCATAGAAGTAAAGGAATAAAATACTTTAAAAACATTTAAGAAATCACTGTAGATAGACAAGTTGCTTTCTCAAGATGTTGCTTATTAAAACATATTTCCATTTTTTGTTGTTGTATTTTTTCCTTTTTTTTAAATTTTTTTTTATTCATGTACAGCCCTGTACCAGCTTTCCCTCATCTTTAATGTATAGAAATTGTAGCTCATCATGCCATAAGACCTATTACTATCATTGAGTTTACAGTATTGTATTGAAATGCTGATGCTGTCTCTTTCATTAGTTGCACAGGGCGGCCTTAGTCTCCTCTCACTGTGAGGCTTTTCTG